GAAAGAAGACTGAACTATAGCAACAAAATTTGCATGTTTCATACATATATATAACTCGAATTTTATATAATATTTGTATCATATATATATATTTGTAACTTTTGCAAAAAAATATATATATTTTTACATCGTATCACTCTTCACTTGGCTTGATTTGAATCTCGTTTCGTTTCGTTTCATGTATTTATTTATTTATTTATGCAGTTGACCCGCTTTAAAGCTTTGCCCGAAAAGTAACAAAAACAAAATCGCAGCAATAACAACAGCTGTTTGTTGTTGTTGTCGTTGTTGTTGACTTTGTATCTCGTTGTTCTTGTTGTTGTTGCTGTTGTTAAATTCTTTTCAACTCTTTAGCTGTTTTGCATATATTTTTCTTGTTGCACTTGTTTATTTTGTTGTCGCTTTTCAGACACACCAATACCAACACTATCACATAAACGCATACACACACAAACACTCACTAGCGCAACTCTTGGCTAAAATATTTTCATGAATTTTGTGAAATTTTTCAGTTGCGCGCGCGCGTTTAGCACCCACGAATTGTTATTGCCGCACTCTTCGCGCCCACTGCCTTGGCGCGCTCTCTCTATCTCTCTCTTTCTCTGTCTTTCTATCGGCCGCTACCGTTCGCACTCGTTGCGCTGGCGTTTGCTTAGGTGGGAGGGGCGGGCGTACAAAACTAAGCAGCGCACGTTCCACGTTTTTCCAACTGTTGGCCACAAGCTGCGCGTGTCGACTGAGCGCCGAAGCAGGTGCGCCCTCGGTGCTGCGCTTTGCACTGAGCTTTTGAGCGGAGCTTTAAAGCTTGTGCATTGTCGTGCTCATTTGAATAGCTTTGGGCCTTGGCCGCAGAGCGCCATCTAGCGAGTTTTTATTTCCTCGACAGCTTTCGATCAGTTGGGTGGCAAAATAAATAAATAGGGCTGGTTCAACGGACAAAACGGAATTCTATTAATTCACATGTTGCTGCTTATCAAATTTTGGTTAATTAATGAAGTAAATATTAAGAACGAATCGTAAAGAAATTAATATTGGGCAACGAAAACGGCTCTGTATTTGCAAAGTTCTTAAAATAGTTTGTCTCTTTCTGCATTTCGTTTTGTGCCGGCACCTTCGGGCTGCTTCTAAGCTTTGCTTCTCCTTAAGGGCAGCCGTAGCAATCTTGTTCTCCTTCTCTTCTATGACTCCTGCTATTGCTCATTCAGCTACTACCACTTCTATATTTCTCAGCTCAAGAATAACTAACATTCTAATTCTCATTTCTCTTCTGTTTGCTTTTCCTTTAACTTCTCTCTTAAGTAGTCAGCTCTGCCCTCTACTTGATATCCCGTCAAGTCTATTCATTCTGAGCAACTAAATTAAAGAAGAGATGTCTTTCAGAATAGCTCAAGAGCTTACATAAACTCATGAGAATTGCGTAGTAGGGCATACTTGAATTGCAACATTTTTTGAGGTAAGCGTTATGTAAACTTAACCTTTGGTTTAGATGAAAATAAATTACTACATAGGATTACAATAGTTTTATATATGTATATGATTTCAAATTGTTCTGTTCTTGTTCATTTATAATAAAACTTAAAGTCTTATAAGTCTTAAGATAGCCTCACATTAATTTCAGTTCCCCAATTCTGTAAGCCTCAAATCGGATAAAGCCCTTATATTTCGCTCTGCCGCAAAGCTCATAGATAGCCCTAAATCTATTACCTTAGATGCATATCGGACTCATTAACGCACATGCCGAAAGAAATGCGGAATTTCGGGCGTGGGCTTGTGTGGGGCCCAAATGATTTATGCAGTGGTCTCTCAGCGAACACCTTAAAAATCAGCCGAAAACAAAAGAGTTAAAGTGAGGTGCGTGCCGCCTAATGTCGAATCGTAATGGGGAATTGAGTTCGGCTCGTTATGAGTGAGTGAAAGAGAGGGGGAGAGAGAAACGGTGAGAGACTGAGAGAGTGAGAGAGCGAGAGGGGGGTTGGGTAGAGGTAGAGCACTGTGCGGCAGTTAATACTCCTCGACTTTTGTTGATCTTGAGAGGGAATACCAACTGTTGATTTATCTCTCGGTGAGTCGCTCGGCATCTGCCGCTGCCGCTGTCGACGCAGCAGCAACGCCGGCGACTTACTGACCAAGTTTATAAAACTTTGGGCCAAAATGCAAGCGTCGCACAGTTGCTTCGACAACGTTGCACGCGCAGCCGTCGCGTAACCCTTCAAGGCAGTACAATACCTATATATATCGTATATATATATAGCTACATGTATATATGTGTGTGTGTGTATATATATAGAAGCGAATACAAATGAAATTTTGTCGTGCGGCCGTTGAAGAGCGTTGAAACAGCAAAATAAAACGGGTTGCAGGGCCCAGGGCCAGGCATTGCGCTTTATCAGCCAACAGCTGAACGAGAAAAAAAAAACAAAAAAAACAAAAACAAAAAACTCAGAAACAAATAAACATCATCAACGAAAACGAAAGTCTGAAGCAACTAAAATCAAGTAAAGTTCAAGAGATAAAAGACACGCGGATCTTGAGATCTCGAGCTCAATAAACGGCATAAATGTAACACCTGATGCGTACTCGAAGGCAAAGTGAAAATTTGTCGCATGCCAAAGTGCAAAAGAAATTAATGTAAATCTGGAAAAGAAACCCAAACAAATTTCTGATTATATACTCAGATATCAAATTTCATATATCAAATATCATAAAAGAGAAGAAAGAGTAAGTGCTCTAAGTGTTCTGTGCTTCAATGTAAACAAAATGTACGAATAAAGTTGTTAATTGAAAGTTTTTTAAAAATATTTATCGACGAATTACGCTCAACTAAACGCGCTCGCTCTCTCACTCGCTCTTTCTCTGTGATCTGCACAAGTCAATATTATATAAGACCCCCCTCGGCGCTTCTCATTACCACACATGCGGAGAGCCAACATCTGCCAAGAAGCAAGCCAAACAAAAACGCGCTGAGGAAAGCGAAATATGCAAAACGCGTTAGCTATGCAAATTTCGTTTTTAACTCATTTTTGATGTGACAATTTCTGAATGCGTTCAAAACTGTTGCGAGTCGAGTTACAGCGCACGACCTTAGTCAATGCCAGCTGTTAAATTTCCCTGCTAGCAAAATTATTCTCGGTCAAGCAACAGCAGCAACAACAACAACAACTCACGCTCTTGCTGTAATAAGCCATTAAACGGAATTATTACGTGTCTCCTCCAGCTCGAGCGCCAAAATGAAATCGAAAGCCCAGCAGGGCGAGCCCAAAAACCAGCTCAAACCTGAGCTTCAGTTTGAGCCCAAGTTTGAGTCACGATTCAATGGTCAGTCGAGCTCAAAACTTGTCGGGAGACTCACTACTGCTACTTGCTAGTGTTGTTGCTGTTGTTGTTGCTGCTGCTGCTGCTTATTTTTATTGTTGTCAATTGAACCTTAGTCGTTGCGTTGGCTACACGAAATTGGGTTGAGCTTGATTATTGTTGTTGTTAGAAATACCCAGCAGCTATCGAAAATGGGGCAAGCCATGGGGTAGATTGACAGCTCGAAAGGAGAATAAATAAGAATAAATAGAAAATATACAAATAAAAACAAAATATTTCAATTGTTAAAACAATGTGAAAAAATAAACAAATTAAAATAAAATAGGCAAAAATTACA